GGGGCGACAAAACAACAAGACAGTCCATGAAAGGAAGTAAAATAAAAGCGGAAAGTGACAACTAAGCAAAGTTTATACTGCTATTTCCAACAAACCAGTGAAATATTTTGCATGCTTCAGCTTCAGTGATTCGTGCCACGAAAGAACAATCGACGCGAACAATTGATAAGGAGGGATCTAACAGCCCACTAATGTAAGTTCTTGCACTAACTTTCTACTTTTCTCTTTTTTTTCAATTGTTAGGCAGGAAAGTAAAAAAATGCATATACATCGATTTTATACATATATACACAGAAAAACAAAAATAAATAAGTAAATTCAGAAAAAAATAACAGGATGCTTTTCTATTCCGCTTTTGTTTCCTTGCCTTCTGTTTGCAAATCCAAATTGTTCCCATTTAGCAGCATTACTAGCAATTGCAGCAAATGGAGAAGATGAAGGCGAAAGAAAATAAACGGATTGGAAAACCATTATCCATTGAAATCCCCAAAAATCTTTCAAAAAAAAAAAAGAAACAATATTTTTTATTTCAACTTTTATTTGGCCAGTATTTTTTTTTATATTATTTTTACTTCTTCTTTGCTTTTTCTTTCTTCGCTTTCTTCGTTGTCGCCTTCTTCTTCTTCTTCATCTTCCTTCTCTTCTCCATATTTCTTTGTTTGTTTCCTTTTTTTTTTTGAAACAAGTATCCAATATCGTCAAAATTTTTATCCTTCTTCTTTGGCAGAAAGAAAAAAACATGAGACTTCGTTTTCCTCGGCAACGCTTTCAAATCCTACTTTAATTAGCGTAACTGATTTGTTAAAGCATTTAAAGAAAATGGTATTTCAGTGCTGAACAAGCAGTTGATATGAATGCTGAATGCGTTGAGGCTATCATTAAACCAGTGATGCTAGATTTGCCAAAATCTGAAGATTTTCGGCCGCTATCTGACATTGAAGACGGTGAGCTACTGGTACAGCTTGATGATCCAGATTTTAATGCAAATCCAATGATATCGTCAATGAATATGGCGTCCTCTGGTTATATGACCTCATCGGGTTTACTAAATTCCCCAGAAAAAAATTCTGACGGACTTCCCGAATTGGATTCTGTTGAAGAACAATTATGCAATTTAACAATGTCTACTACAAAGTAAGTCTTCTTTTTTATTTCTCTCTTCCCACTTCGTCTAGTCCACTCAACAATTTACATACGAATATATATATATATATATATATATATATATATATATATAGGTTATTTATGTTTATTTATTTATTTATTTACACTTGTTTTTATATTTATATTTTTTTGATATTTATTCATTTATTTATTTATTCGTTGTTTTTACATTTTTTTTTCTCTAATGCAAATCCTTGACGCATTTATTGTTTCATTAAGATCGGAAAAGTTGGCCTCGACCAAAATACACAATGCACTGTTGTTGTTCGTGTGTTATACACATATTATAAAAAGCAAATCAAACATGTTAGAATGGGAAAAATTTGCAAACATTGTCAACCCCTCTATCCGTCTATGTCTCCATTGTGTAATCGGCCGACTTTTAGAAGTAGTACTTTTGTTGGCTAACTAACTAAAGCGTAAATGCTTAAAAGCAAAAGAAAGATAAGGTGGAAAATGCAGTTATTAATTGG